CCGTCAAATAAAAACCCAGATCTTGGGGGAACCCAAGTGTTGGTAGCCCTGGTGCCGTCGTCAGACCTTTTCAATGCATTGCCCGGCTCTCTAGCGAAGTTGATTAAACCTGACTTTCGCGGCGGCCGGGTGACGAACTCCTTGTGGTCCGGGTTCACTCCCGGGGGTAGGCAGAAAAGCCACATTTCTCCCAGATTAACGGTACCTATAATGGAATCAAGGCCGAAGGGTTGCGATATCCATAGTACCGAGCCAAAGGGTTTACAACTCATGGTTTCTGGATACGTTAAAAAAAAAAAAAAAGAAGAAAGTGGGTCAGCTCATTTCCTTTAACACAGCGTACAGAATCAACACTGGTTTCAAATGAAAGGTCAGCCGTCTCAACTGTAGAGGTGAACAGAATTAGCCAGGTATGTCCGGTGTGTGTTTGTATTCCTGGGGAGTTCAACACATCGGCGACCGGATCGCCCATTGGCTCGCCGGTAGACGGCTTCGTCGCTGGTAGGGACAGTATTTGGGGTGTCTGCTTTGATCGCATCAACACTACAGGAGACCTTTTCAGGGCTCTTGGTGACGTACGATGCAAAGCCATGTTATATGGCGCACATAACCTAGTCACAATTATAACCCAATGCTCCCCCTTCGAAGATGCTGGTTGAATGTAACGATTCCCCCTCATACCTCTCAGGGAGTGTGTAAACAGCGTGTGTCCTTTCCAGTGGCTGATGGAATTTGCACTTTTATAAATTCTTGAACAATAAACAGCAACGGTTATATAATAAATTATTAAATATATTGTCCCATAAAGAGGAAAAAGAGTACTAACAACTAACTGACATAGGTTGCAGACTACAACCTAACCATCGGGTGCCTTAATATAACTTATATGGTGAAATGGATCTCAGAATACCGTGCAACAAGAAGAAAATAAATACCTACATCCTAAAAGATCTGAACATAAACGAAGATTGATTAGTTAAGTTAACGGCATCTAATCTCGGAAACTTAACTGTTTGGTTATATCAAGCGCCATGGCGGACTGGAAGGAATTGTAGCAGAAAGAATGGTAGCAGAAGGAATGGTAGCAAAAAGAATGGTAGCAGAAGGAATGGTAGCAGAAAAAAGGGTAGCAGGAGGAATGGTAGCAGATAGAATGGTAGCAGAAAGAATGGTAGCAGGAGGAATAGTAGCAGATAGAATACTAGCAGAAGGAATGGTAGCAGAAGGAATGGTAGCAGGAGGAATGGTAGCAGGAGGAATGGTAGCAGAAGGAATGGTAGCAGGAGGAATGGTAGCAGAAGGAATGGAAGCAGCAGGAATGGTAGCAGAAGGAATGGTAGCAGGAGGAATGGTAGCAGGAGGAATGGTAGCAGAAGAAATGGTAGCAAAAAGAATGGTAGCAGGAGGAATGGTAACAGGAGGGATGGTAGCAAAAAGAATGGTAGCAGAAAGAATGGTAGCAGAAGGAATGGTAGCAGAAGGAATGGTAGCAGGAGGAATGGTAGCAGGAGGAATGGTAGCAGAAGGAATGGTAGCAGAAAGAATGGTAGCAGGAGGAATGGTAGCAGGAGGAATGGTAGCAGGAGGAATGGTAGCAGAAGGAATGGTAGCAGGAGGAATGGTAGCAGGAGGAATGGTAGCAAAAGGAATGGTAGCAAAAAGAATGGTAGCAGGAGGAATGGTAGCAAAAAGAATGGTAGCAGAAAGAATGGTAGCAGAAGGAATGGTAGCAGAAAGAATGGTAGCAGGAGGAATGGTAGCAGAAAGAATGGTAGCAGGAGGAATGGTAGCAAAAAGAATGGTAGCAGGAGGAATGGTAGCAGGAGGAATGGTAGCAGGAGGAAAGGTAGCAAAAAGAATGGTAGCAGGAGGAATGGTAGCAGAAGGAATGGTAGCAGGAGGAATGGTAGCAGAAGGAATGGTAGCAGGAGGAATGGTAGCAGGAGGAATGGTAGCAGGAGGAATGGTAGCAGGAGGAATGGTAGCAGGAGGAATGGTAGCAGAAAGAATGGTAGCAGGAGGAATGGTAGCAGAAGGAATGGTAGCAGGAGGAATGGTAGCAGAAGGAATGGTAGCAAAAAGAATGGTAGCAGGAGGAATGGTAGCAAAAAGAATGGTAGCAAAAAGAATGGTAGCAGGAGGAATGGTAGCAGAAAGAATGGTAGCAAAAAGAATGGTAGCAGGAGGAATGGTAGCAGGAGGAATGGTAGCAGGAGGAATGGTAGCAGAAAGAATGGTAGCAGAAAGAATGGTAGCAGGAGGCATGGTAGCAGAAAGAATGGTAGCAGGAGGAATGGTAGCAGAAAGAATGGTAGCAGGAGGAATGGTAGCAGGAGGAATGGTAGCAGGAGGAATGGTAGCAGAAGGAATGGTAGCAGAAGGAATGGTAGCAGGAGGAATGGTAGCAGAAAGAATGGTAGCAGAAGGAATGGTAGCAGGAGGAATGGTAGCAGGAGGAATGGTAGCAGGAGGAATGGTAGCAGAAAGAATGGTAGCAGGAGGAATGGTAGCAGAAAGAATGGTAGCAGAAGGAATGGTAGCAGGAGGAATGGTAGCAGGAGGAATGGTAGCAGGAGGAATGGTAGCAGGAGGAATGGTAGCAGAAGGAATGGTAGCAGAAGGAATAGTAGCAGAAGGAATGGTAGCAGAAGGAATGGTAGCAGGAGGAATGGTAGCAGGAGGAATGGTAGCAGGAGGAATGGTAGCAGAAGGAATGGTAGCAGAAGGAATGGTAGCAGGAGGAATGGTAGCAGAAGGAATGGTAGCAGAAGGAATGGTAGCAGGAGGAATGGTAGCAGAAGGAATGGTAGCACGTAGGAATGGTAGCAGAAGGAATGGTAGCAGGAGGAATGGTAGCAGGAGGAATGGTAGCATGAGGAATGGTAGCAGGAGGAATGGTAGCAGGAGGAATGGTAGCAAAAAGAATGGTAGCAGGAGGAATGGTAGCAAAAAGAATGGTAGCAGAAAGAATGGTAGCAAAAAGAATGGTAGCAGGAGGAATGGTAGCAGAAGGAATGGTAGCAGAAGGAATGGTAGCAGAAGGAATGGTAGCAGAAAGAATGGTAGCAGAAGGAATGGTAGCAGAAGGAATGGTAGCAGAAGGAATGGTAGCAGGAGGAATGGTAGCAGGAGGAATGGTAGCAGGAGGAATGGTAGCAGGAGGAATGGTAGCAAAAAGAATGGTAGCAGAAAGAATGGTAGCAAAAAGAATGGTAGCAGGAGGAATGGTAGCAAAAAGAATGGTAGCAAAAAGAATGGTAGCAGGAGGAATGGTAGCAGAAGGAATGGTAGCAGAAGGAATGGTAGCAGGAGGAATGGTAGCAGAAGGAATGGTAGCAGAAGGAATGGTAGCAGGAGGAATGGTAGCAAAAAGAATGGTAGCAGGAGGAATGGTAGCAGGAGGAATGGTAGCAAAAAGAATGGTAGCAGGAGGAAAGGTAGCAAAAAGAATGGTAGCAGAAGGAATGGTAGCAGGAGGAATGGTAGCAGGAGGAATGGTAGCAGAACTTTCCGCTGAAGAAGATAAAAACGCTGCCTTTCCATATTCTTTAGCCACCGAGGAACTCCAGTAGCAAGGATACCGGTTTGCACTTAGCTTAGTATTTCGAAGCAGCCAGATCGATGTCTTGCCAGTAGACTGATGAGACACGTGGGACAGAATAATAAATATCCCCGGGGAATGCCAGGGGCCATAACTAGAGGGTTTTAGATAAAAATGTAAGGGCAGTTCAGTCCCCTAGAATTTTAGATAAAACTGTGTTGGCAGTTCAGTCCTCTAGGTTTTAACGTGCCCAAAGTATTGAGCTGGGGCAGAGCCTCTAGTCGCCTCTTCTCTACACTGTTGTCTCCAGACCGTCGTTATTAATTATAGGACTCATAATTTTATTTAAAAACCAAAAACATACGGCCTAGCCTGCCTCAAGCCAAAAAATTTATTCAGAAACAGATAAATATACTGACTGATGATTGTCAGCGTATTTTAATTGTTTTCGTTTCTTCTGATTTTAATTTATTTCGTTATGTGTGGCGACCAATCAATAAGCATGACTGTATTTGTATTTGTGATGCTCAAACTATTTCTGCATGTGTTTATAAAGTATTACACTTGTCATCATTATCATCACAACAGCAGGTCATTTGCAGAAGTCTGGTGTGAGGCATGCATGTAACGACTGTAGCGGCAGCTCACACTTTCCATTGCCAAAAAAAAAAAAAATACTCTACTATTTATTACTGTTTACTACTTTTTACACACACGCAGCTCGGTTTACGTCCCACCTCCAGTCCGTTGCATGTTTACACCCTCATGCAGAAACTGTAACAAAACGAAAGATACTAATTATTAGTACTACAGTTCTCGCTGTCCATGTATGTTCTCAACAGCGAAACAAGGAGACATATCACATGATACCCTCTCCGGTGTAATCGTTTCACGCTAACGCATACGAAGTGATCGTGCTTCACTTCTTGAAGTCCATGCCATGTAGCTGTTGATAGTCATGTCCATCCACAGCCTTTTGTATCTTGTTAGTTGCGTATCCTTTACAGGACGTTGCAGAACCAACCACAGCAGCCCCTGGCTGTTGTGTGGTTTCTCTAGGCAAATTTACATCCGGTAGTTTGCCATTGCTTCTGGACGGTCAGCTCCCTGATACCACTGTCGAAATCAACGCAAGGCATAGCCCGCAACTGGGATCGAACCCGGCACCCCGGCATTACGAAGCGTTCGCATCTACTTAGCCACCGTTCGTATCATGTACTTTAAATCACTTCTGATACGGGTGATCTACTATGCTATGAGGTCACGTCGTTCTGCATCTTATTTCTCTATCTCCCTCTGCCTCTTCACCGCCCCCCTTTCCGCCGCCCCCCCCCTTCCGCCGCTCCCCCTTTTGTTAGTTCGTTCTCGTTGAAAGTAACATTTTTTGTCAAATGATGCGAAAATAAATATTTTCACACTAACTAATTTTGCTGTCTTTGTTTTGTTTACAGACATCGCTATGAGTGTCACTGGGGCCCCTCCCCTCCTTCTTTGGGTGGGGGCTGTATGGTTTGGAGTGGTCTTTGCACTGACATTTGGCCACAGAGCGAATGGATCCCCTAGAAGTGGCATGTCTTCCAGCGAGACTCTCTTTGGATTCGCTCAGTCTTCATACAGTGGCGCTATCTATGAGAACAGTGGGGCCAAGGAGTATATCCAGACGACCCAGAAGATGGGGATCCATCTGGGCCATCCAGGAGGGTTGGATGTGGAGTACTCTATCACTGACGGCGATCCCAACAGTATTTTTACAGCAGAAGCGGTCACTGTGAAAGATTTCAGTTTCTTGCGCATTCGAACACAGACAGCCAACTATTGGATGCTGAACAGGGAGCGTAACTCGCACTTCCATCTTCGGGTGCAAGCAAGAATTACCTACCCAGGGGACATTACTGTAGTCAACTATACCAATGTTAATATCACAGTTTTGGACCTGAACGAATTCAGTCCCTTGTTTCCTACACAACCATACGAGGTTAACATTCCTGAGGATACTCCTTTATTCCGAAGTATTGGCCATGTCAAAGCTTCTGATGCGGATAGCGGCATCAACGGAGAAATCTACTATAGCTTTGCCCGTGAGACTCACACATTCGCCATTCATCCAACTACCGGAGTTATCTCCCTCACTGGTGCAGTCCGGTTCAAACAACAGGCCAGGTATGAGTTGGAAATTCTCGCCAAAGATCGGGGAGAACCTACTTCGAGTCGAAGTATTTCTCCAAATAGTAGAACAACTTTCACGGTGGATATCCTTCCCGTTAATTTCAACCCGCCGACTATCAACATCCACAACCACCAGACTCTAATCGAACATGGGAACATCGGGTCGCTGTTTGCCGTGTTGACAGTCACAGATGAGGACCACGGCAGCAATGGGGAGATAAGCAGTGTAGCAATAACGAATGACCCTAAACGAATCTTCAGTTTGGCAGCGGAGTCAGCCAATGGCAAGTTCAACATAATGGTTGTGTCAACCATCGACCGTGAAACGATGCCTGTGGATTATAACATCACCATAACCGCGGTTGACAAGGGGTTACCGCCCCTTACTGCCTCAGTGGTGGTTCCTGTTCGCGTCCAGGATATAAACGACAACCCTCCGGAATTTGAACAGAGTGTTTACTCTGTGGAGATCTCCGAGATTGTCCCTATGAATACCCCGGTTGTGTTTGTCAAAGCACATGACAGGGACATGGGTGCCAATGCTGAGGTCTTGTACAGTATTGCTGATGGTAACAAAAATAACTTTTTCTCTATTGACCCACAGTCGGGTTTGATTCGGACTGCAGGGCAACTAGATGCTGATATGGACATGCGGGTATCGTTGATAGTCCAAGCACAAGACCAGGCCAACAGCGGGTCTAGAAAGACTGGCCAAACACGGGTGGTCATCGTGCTAAAAGATTACAACGATAATTCTCCGGTTTTCAACATGGCGTTGAATTACATCAATGTCAAGGAAAACATGCCACGTGGTTCACGAGTCACCACTGTTCTGGCAAATGACGAGGATAGTGGCGATAACGGAACACTGAGTTACAGTATTGTCAACTACGACCGGGTACCGTTCGAGATCGACCCTTTTTCGGGGGAGATCACCACAACGGAAGTGCTAGATTTTGAGACGATGCAAAGGAATTATGATATCGTTGTCGGCGTATCTGACTGGGGAACTCCATTCAGGAGAGAAGATTCTATGGTTCTGACAGTTCGACTTGAGGATGTTAATGATAACAGCCCCGAGTTTGAACGGACTAGATGCCAGGGTTACCTATCACGAGAATCTCCGTTAAAAATGGACGTAGTAACTCTAACCGCCATAGACTTTGATTCGGGAAACATAATCACTTATAGTATTACAGAAGGAAACGCCGACAACTGCTTCAGCATCGTCTCATCCACCGGCACCATCACAGTCAACTGCGATTTGTCCAGCTACCGCGAAGACATCCGTACACTGACCATCGTGGCCAGTGATAGCCAGCACGTGTCAATTCCTACCACGGTCAATCTCACGTTAGTTAACAACAATCGAAACCCGGCCTTGGCCTCGGATTATGTCCGAGTGTCCTGCCAGAAAACCGACGTGGCTTCGAGGCTGCAGCAACAGATGCAGAAATCCAAACTTGCAAGGATGAACGAGCAGATTGTATCTCATAGCCGTAACAAACAGAAGAACAACGCGCCGACTTTGTCTGGAACCTTTCCGGCATACGTAGAAATCTCAGAAGGCGCGGATATCGGGTCGGTTGTTTTAGACTTCGGTACCCACGTCACAGACCAAGATAGTGGATACGACGGAAAGTTAGTTTTTGTAATTTCTGGTGGTAACGATCCACACGGTGCCTTCAAATTGGACAGTTTTACGGGAAAACTGCAGGTTCTGTCGCCATTAGACTTTGAAGAGAAATCAGAATACACCATTACGCTAACAGCGATGGATCTCGGTCAGCCTCCGATGCAGATGTCAGTAGATGTCAGGGTTGTGGTACTGGATGACAACGACAATACGCCCACATTTGAACAAGCGCAATATTCTAGGGTCGTCAGCGAGAATACACCAGTAGATTCCGTTGTCCTTCAAGTCAAAGCTACAGATTTGGACTCTGGGATGAATTCTGAAATAGAGTACTCAATTCTTTCAGGCGGCAGTGATTTCACTATTGATCCAGTTAACGGATTTATTAAAATAAAACGAGGGCTTGACCGCGAGAGCAGATCTGTATATAGATTAACAATTCAGGCTAAAGATTCCGGCCTGAAAGCAAAGCTAGCATCAACAACCACAGTCACCATCACCATTACCGACATCAACGACAACACGCCCCTCTTTGTTCCAGAAAAATATCTAGTTCGGGTCCGCGAGGAACTTCCTGTTGGTGCCATTATCACTACCCTGGCAGCTCGAGACCTTGACGAGGGTGATAATGGACGTGTGAGTTACTCATTCGCTCAGGGAAGCGAGGAGAGTTTTGACCTTGACAGCACTACTGGTTCCATTCGTATCAAAAGACTTCTGGATTACGAGATCAAGCAGGTGTATAACCTCACGGTTATTGTTACTGACCACGGAGAACCAGCCTTGTCGTCTTCTTGTCTTGTCATGGTCGAAGTCATGGATGTTGACGAAAACCGTTTTCCTCCAGTGTTTCCGGACTTTCTAGCTAACGGAAGCGTCCCCGAAAATCTGCCCATTGGATCTTACGTGATGCATATCCAGGCCGATGACCAGGATGACCCTCGGAGTGGAGTAGGTCAGATTTTCTACACTATTCAGGAGGGTTCCGGTTTAGGCCGGTTCACCATCGACGTCAATGGTAAGTCTTGACAGTTATGTCTCATGTTTGTCGTCTCCCCGTGTGTGTTCAGTGTGTGTGTTTAGTGTGTGGGTTCAATGTGTGGGTATAATGTATGGGTTCAACGTGTGGGTATAATATGTGAGTTCACTGTCTGGGTTCAATGTTTGAGTATAATCTGTGGGTTCAGTGTATTTGTTCAATGTGTGGGTTCAGTGTGTGTGTACAGTGTGTGGGTTTAATGTATGGGTTCAACGTGTGGGTATAATATGTGGGTATAATGTGTGGGTTCACTGTGTAGGTTCAGTGGCTCCATTTTAGAGAACACAAAATATAGCCACTGCCCCCAACACCCGGCAACAAGCGTGTCGTAAAAGGCATCTGCATGAGAGTCAATAAACCAACAGTTTGCATACAAACAACCGGATGTGTAAAACGGGTGTCTAAAATTTTAGTTTTGGATCAAGATACAAGTCTACAGTGGACGAGTAAATTGAAAACAGGTTAAGCTAAATCCCCTGTCTGTCCGTCAGTCCCTCCGCAGATTGCTTGTCTGTTTGTAAATCTCTGCGTGAATCTAAACTGTCCATGTCTGCCGGTCAGCCTGTCTGTTATCTGCCTTCTGTCAGTGTAATCAGTCCTTCCGAGTTTGCCAGCCTTTCTGTATAATCTGTGCGTTCAACTACCTGTCTGTTCGTTCAACTACCTGTCTGTCCCACCCCCCCCCCAGCCAGTCTAGTCACTCCCTTCTTAACCAGCATGCTTCTCTGACGTTGTCCTTCGCTGATATGGTTTAAAGTAAAATTTCCCTTGTTTCATTTGGTCATTACATATTGGTCATAACATTCTTGCATCTAAGAGCATGTATCTGGGTATTTAGGTATACTTAGCTGGTCGAATCGTTACCCTTGCCGCTGTAGAACTTTGTAGTCGTAGTTTGTGTTGTGGTAGTTTATTTCAACCCATTAACCCATAAACAATAATCAAGCCGAGCAATAGTCGAACCAAACAACAATCCAAGCAGATAATAATCCCTTCTTCTTCTTCTTTTTGTTCCTCCTCATCTTCTTCTTCTTCTTCTTCTTCTTCTTCTTCTTCTTCTTCTTCTTCTTCTTCTTCTTCTTCTTCTTCTTCTTCTTCTTCTTCTTCTTCTTCGCCAACCAATCAGCCAGTCTGCCAACCCAATAACCAGTCAAATACCCAGAAGCTAGCGGACTCAACCAATTTCCTTGTCAAAGGTTAATGTATTCGCCATAGCCACACTTACGTCTGCCCTATGCAATTTCCCCTGATGCTCATTGCCAGACCTCTTCCTCCTGCCCCCACCCCCCGAAGACCGCCCCAACCCCCTCCCCCTCCAAAGACCGCCCAAGCCCCCCCCCCATCCCCTACACACACAATCCGTTCCGCTAACGAGTATTTCACAACCGGGTTATATGGTTTATGTCAAGGACGCCCACAGCGCCCGGCTGCTGTTGCGATAGATCTCTACCGTCTCTGCCGCTCGCCATCTTGATCTCTCCACAACCTGCCGCTTAATCGTTTAGCTTTCTTTAGGGAAATTGAAATGCGCGTCTGATAGTCGATAATATTCACACAATACGCCGGTTCTCCCAAAGTAAGCATTAAAGCATTTAATAAGAATGTATTAAATTACACAGATTTTGAGTGTCAGAATTATGAAAACATCAGGTTTCTTTCTGTAGCTATGCGTTTCTTTTCTTTCTTTCTTTCTTTCTTTCTTTCTTTCTTTCTTTCTTTCTTTCTTTCTTTCTTTCTTTCTTTCTTTCTTTCTTTCTTTCTTTCTTTCTTTCTTTCTTTCTTTCTTTCTTTCTTTTTTCTTTCTTTCTTTCTTTCTTTCTTTCTTTTTCTTTCTTTCTTTTTCTTTCTTTCTTTCTTTCTTTCTTTCTTTCTTTCTTTCTTTCTTTCTTTCTTTCTTTCTTTCTTTCTTTCTTTCTTTCTTTCTTTCTTTCTTTCTTTCTTTCTTTCTTTCTTTCTTTCTTTCTTTCTTTCTTTCTTTCTTTTTCTTTCTTCAAAATAGTATTGAAGAAACAAGACAAGACATCCGTTCACAGCAGGACCACGTAACCGTCAGCCGGCCACCCAATCACCTCCTCTTCCCGTTCACACCCATATATTTCAATACACTTGTTTGTCTTTATCAACGTGGCCCCGGAGTTAGGGCGAGATGTTTCAGCTGATCCTGCTGATTAACTCCGGAGATCTTCCACATGTGGTTCTGCTTAGAACTGTTGGGTGCTCGGGAAGTCGTTTGTAATGCGACCAGGGGAGTTGCATGGAGTGGAGGCAGCATGAGGTGGTGAGCTGTGCCAAGACTTTGTAACCGTAGAGTTAGGTTACAGGAACTGTAACCTGAGAGGTGGTTTACATGAAATGTAACGTTGGAGTTTGGGGTCCTGTTCACGTTTCCAGGCCCATCTACATACTTTCTGAGTCTGTTTTAAGTCAAAGGGATGTCAGGTTGTACTGCTTTCTTCGAAAAGCATCTCTCGTGTGACTTAGGTTGTGGCTCTGGGTAGGTGATTTGGGTTAGGGCCAGTTATAGATGTTCTGATGTCGTTGAAAGCTATGTCGTCGTGTAGTAAGGAACACGCGCTGATTTAATTTCAGGCAAGACAACGTGACACCCCTCCGACGTAGAAGAATATGAGAAAGTATGAATGGAAGGTCAGGCTGTATGTAGATGGACCGGAAAACGTGAACAGGACCGAGTTTGGTTACATGTGTCGACTTAATGTATGTGTGCCTGACTCTTTACTCAATCTTTTAAGAAATAAATGAGAACTTTTAAATTGAAATGCTACAGAAATAGTCTTAGAATACCCTGGACCAAGAAGAAGACAACACCGAACTCCTGCATGACCTGAACATTGAGGAAAATTGACTCATAAACAGCATCCTTGGTGGCTTGGTGAGAACTGTGATGGACTGACTGACGTTCCACCTCACCAGGACCGTGAGTCAGTGATTAATGCCCGGTGATACAAGTGACACCGTTATTAAGACATCCAGACATAAAAATAAAGTAACGGATCCTTTCCCACGCCTTTCAGGTGTATTGGGTATATATGGCTAGACCTATATTTTATAGACCAAACGGCGGGTGATGTGGTCAGCATCACGCCAGGTGTATTTACTTCCCAGGACTGTACCTGGTACCTACTCAAGGCTGGGTCGACCTGGGAGCCAAGGTCATTTTTGAAAAGCCGGTGCCCATACTTTCTCACATATAGTATGAACACCGAACGAAGTCATAACACCCATTGAATATGGGACTTTCCTGGGAACTCACTAGCAAATTCCCAGGAAATCTCGGAAACGGGGGGAAATAACAGAAAAGAACCGCATGTTTACCCATCTTTCCATTGTTATATTTCACAGTGTTACTTCTAACCTGTATTTGTTCTAACTACTACTGCCAGTGCCAAGCAGTACCTCGTTGCTCTAGCCTCAAGGGTTCCCAAACAATGTACAATTCCCCAAACAGTTGACAGTTCCCCTAAAGTTGCAAGGATCGCCCAGGTGTAGTTTCCCGCGACTCTACAACTAAACTAGGTCGTGGATTTGCAACAGGTAAAGCCTCTGTTGTTAACGTCGTTGGCTAAATGTGTACACACTGCAGAAAATTTAGGTCAATTGTCAACGCTGCAGGTCCTTTGCCAAATAACTGTTATTTGTGTTGCCACTCGTCTCTTTCCTCCGATTTTGTGACGTACTATAGAAAGAGTTAACTCTTTTATTTATTACTGTTATTAAAGTAATAGCGATTGGATTGATTCACCTGCTTCTCTCAGTCTCTCACATACGGTTCGCCGGTTGTCTGCTTTATTTAGCAGTTCTGTCACCGTAGTACGGTCGGGGCTCCAGTGGAATTGTAATCAAAACCCAAGCTAAACTGTCCGAAAACACAAGCCATAAAAAGGCAAAGAACAAAAAACCCAAGATTAATAAAAGGTACAGTTTTAGTTACGAAACGAAACATTTACCCATTTTATTTAAGAATATATGAAACAACCCAAGATTCCAAAATCTGAATACAAGGCGTCACATAAAAAACTAGTTGGTTGGTTGTTTGCTTGGAAAGCTGGCACATGGAAAGCTAGTTGATTGCTAACTGGTTATCTGGTTGATAGGATGGTTGATTTGCTGAATTGTTAATTTGTTGCACATGGCTGACTGGATGGTTGGTTGAATAGTTGAATGGGTGGTTGATTTGTTAGTTATTAGGATGGTTGATTTGATGGTTGGCATGTTGATTTGCTGTGTGGTTGAGTGTTGTGATGGTTAGATCGTTGATTTGTTGAACGGTTTGTTTTCTCCTTTTTCTGTTTCTCTTCTTCCTCCATAGCCCCATCCTCTTGTTCATTTTCTGATGGCCTTTTCTCACAGCCATTCTCGTTTTCTTCCCGTGAGTGTTTGAATAGTTTTCTTTGATGATTACATCATCTTTTTTATCCTCCTTTTTTCCTTTCCACCATTCTCCTTCTCTTTGACCTCTTCTCTCTTTCCTCCTCCGTATCCGCATTCTTCTTCTTCTTCTTCTTCTTCTTCGCGTTTACCAGCTGTAAATTCTAACGGAATATTCTATTTGTTTTTCTACTTCTAGACCTTAGTCTTGCTCGTTATGATCCCTTTTTATCCAACACAACAGTCAAGTATATTCAATATTGCATTCAGCCCGAGCCTAGTAACCTGAGTGTCATGGTGGTGTCTTGTTTACTCGAACACTCGAAGACGCCCAAGTATCGACTAAGAAGGAACACCCCTAACCAGTCGACTTTTACGGCATGCTTGTTAGGGGGCAGTGGGACTCTCCCCCTCCACAAATGGGGCCCCGGAAACCACACGAAAAGCAAGGTATAAATATAATATACTGCATTGCATAACAATTCACTTTATCGGTAGTTCCGCAGCGTGAATGGAAGAATCCACAGTATTATCCAACACAACAGTCAAGTCTATTCAATATTTCATTCAGCCCGAGCCTAGTAACCGGAGTG